GCCTGGGCACACTGCCGGCTCATGTTCAGCCGGCTGTCGACCAACACCCCCAGGTCCTTTTCCGCCAGGCAGCTTTCCAGCCACTCTTCCCCAAGCCTGTAGCGCTGCATGGGGTTGTTGTGGCCGAAGTGCAGGACCCAGCACTTGGCCTTGTTGAATCTCATACAGTTGGCCTGGGCCCATCGATTCAGCCTGTCCAGGTCCCTCTGCAGAGCCTTCCTACCCTCCAGCAGATCAACACTCCCACCCAACTTGGTGTCGCCTGCAAACTTACTGAGGGTGCACCCGATCCCCTCGTCCAGATCATTGATAAAGATATTGAACAAGATCGACCCCAAAACTGAGCCCTGGGGAACATGTCATACAGTATTTTCCCCTCAACAAAGGGTCTCCTTTTTCCTCTCATAGCCACCAGTCCCTCCTTCTTGGTTGCCAGCCAGCCTCATCCCACCAAACTCTTTGGTTGCCCTATGGCGGAGTCTGGGAGCACCGGTCCTGCAATAGGACACCGATGCTGTTCTGACATTCTGCAAGCACAGATCAAAGTATGACTACAAGACTAATAACTTTGTCTCCAGTTCACACCTGACCTACTGCTCCAACTTCTGCTCTGCCATACCCTAGAGCCAAGGCAGGAGCTAATACACTGCAGAGAAAGAAAGCTGTGGGAAGAAGATGAGACTTCTCCCCCTTGCCCCTGAGCAAGGCTCAGCACAGCATCCATTCTCAGCAATGTGGGAGAGAAACGCGATTTTCTGCATTAAAGCTGTGCCCAGAGAGCCCCTTTCAACCCAAGATTTTGGAGGAGTGGGAAGCAGCTGGCTGTCCTGCAGTTGCCTCCCTGAGATATTAAAGTGGGGAATTTAGCACAGCTATCCTTACACTTTGGGAAAGAACTGGCTGATTTTTGTTTATCTTCATGGTTTTCTTATCTTTTTTTTCCTTTTACAAAATCTGCAGTTTTAAGCCACATGATTCATCATTCGAGAAGGGGTTGGAGAGTGGAAATCAAATCTCTGAGCACTGGAGCATGCAGTTTAATTTTTCCAGGTTTCTGAAGGTTTCTGGAGGCTTGAACCAGTGTTTAATAATGACCCTTAGAGTCTGCACATGTCTTTTTTTGCTGCCAATCAAGGTCTGGTAAAACAGTCACAATAATGCAGAGACATACACAAAAGTTCCTCCTTAATGGTAAACTGGATAGTGCTTGGAATAAGGGTGGGAGATAATGGACTCTTGGATCTGAATGCCTGAACTAAAACAAAAAAGAAAAAATGGGAAAAGAAATCAGTAGAACCAAACCAGGCTTGAGAGACTATTTTCATTAAATAAAAGCCTGTGGACTTATCATTTTGAATTAACCAGATCAACCTCACTCATACTCAGAAATCCAAAGTCATAGAGAACGATTCACTTGGCTTTATTTGATCGTGAAAATGTAAATCCCATTGTTGAAGATCTTACCTCCTTGCTGAAATCAATATTGTTCAGATCTCATATCATATAGCAGTGAAATATGGGGGTCTGTTTGCAGGCAATTTGGTCCTTTTCAATTTGGAATGTCAAGAAAAACATTTCGGCATATCTGAAACATTTCATTTTGAAATGTTGAAATTACATGTTTTTATATTTTGAAAATATACTGCTTTACACCTCAGTTTGAGAGCTGAAACATCCATTAAATCCCACGCAAATTTGTGAGTAGTGGTGGATTTCAACCCACCTAGAACTTCACTTTTATTAGTATCTCGCTCTGTACTATTTTCCCAATTATTGGTCACATTCATTCAAGAGGAGCTTTCTGTGGGCATAACTTCATACTACAGTTTTTCCAAGGAAACAAATACGCCTCATATTTCAGAGGGAGAAACAACTTAAGCTGCTCAAGAATTTTGTGCTCTACTGCTCTACTGACAAACCAGGTGGTGAGAGTAGAAACACAAAGGATTTAGTATAATGGCAACATTTTTCAGATTCTCTGTTGGCCACAAGCATGCAGTGATAAACAATCAGCACATTTTTTTCCCCTATCATTAGAGGACTTGTTTCCCTAAATTGCTGTAGGAATAAAAACTTACCTGGAGAAGCGCAGTCCGACTAGTCCAAACAAGCAGGCACCTACGAGCTGAGCAAACCTGATAGCAATCAATGCTCAAACATCTAAAATCACCTGCAAACCGGAGGTGCATTTAGCTATGGAGGAAAAGTTACTGCAGACTGGAAAGGGAAGCTGATAATGTTTACAAGTTGCATTCAGAGCAAGCAAATTAAGTTTACTAGCCAGGCCCAAGAGGAATGTTGGCAATGCTGGGCACAATTGCAGAAAATGCACAACTTCATGTGCCAAAGAATGACAAAACCTGGCCAGTACGAGTGGAAATGTAGTACCAAGGTAAAAAATGGCTCAAGCGAAGCAGGAGTCAGAGGGCAACTGGAGGGAATGGCCATTAATAAAGCCTGATGTGGAAATTGGGACGTCTTCATTATTTTTATGTTTACATAACACCAACACTGCTTAAAGACAGAACTGCAGAAGGTGCCATGGAGTGACAGAAAGAGAAACAGCCAAGCTGGAGATAACTCCACAGGTGCCAATAGCAAAATCTGTCTTTGAAGCAAACCAGTCTCAGCTTTTTAGTCTGCCAGAGGTTCGGTTACAGGGAAGCATCAGGGTGCACCTGAGCTCTCCTGCACCCCCAGCCTTGCTGGTTACCTCGGCCAAGGGTAGCTGTGGCCACACAGAGAAGTGTCCCTCAAAAGCACCTGAGAAGCAGCAAGCACAAGCCACTTGCAAGGCTCACCTATGGGAAAGGAGAAGAGCACGGGGTTGTTTGCCAAGATGGCAGGGGTTCATTATACACGGGATTTGCCATAGAGAATCTTCTCTGTAAGGGTCTAAGCTAAGCAAATGAAGTTTTCAGGGAACTGAAGGTATCAATCCCTCACAACAGAAAGGCTCCATCACTTTTATATGTAAACTGCTTGACGTCCAGTGACAGTGTATGTGCTCCAAATATCGTGCACATGGGTAACAGCCATGCTGCTTAATAAAATCATTTAGCCCTCTTAAAAATGTTCTGTGGACACTCTTTTTGTGATAGAAAGGCTGTTCTCTTGGAAAGAAAAAATAAAAACAAACTTTCTTCAAATTTCCACAGAGAATGTTTCTTTTCACCACAGCTTCAAGACATAAATTCAAGCAACTGCTGAAAAATACTCCTTTCCCTCCCTCCAAGATTATGAAAATGTTCACATGAAAATGTTGCCAAGAAGGGAAAGTTTCAGGCTTCCATGCAGTTTCACCAGATTTGATTATGTCCCCAAAGTTATTCATACCCATCTGTTATCCCCAAGCCAGGCATAAAACTATGTGTGCCACCTCTAGATAGACCCCAAAGATGCTGTGAGGAAGTGTCTCCCATGTTCCCTACAGCACCTCCTGGCTGTCAGCAAGGCACAAACACGGCACTGCAAGAATCTGGGAAATCAGGAGAGACTTGGGGTGCAGATCTCTTCAGGGTGCAGAAAAAGTCATCTGTGACCCGTGGTGAGGTTGGAGACTGTTAGTATTGTGGGAGCACTGACAAATTTCAGTGAAGATTTAGTCCCCATATGCTACACGATACACAGATACAGGTAAGGATTTTGTTCCTTCTTGGAGCCAACAAGCTAATTTAAGATACAATAAA